CCCCCCCCCCCCCCCCTTCCCAATAGGGGAGGGGCGCTCGTGCGTAATGAATAGTCCAGTAGGCTATTTCATTCTTTTTTGTGAACATGCCTGCAGTTTGAAAATTTTGTTTAGCATACTAACTTATAGGAGATTAAAAATCTGGCCAGAGGGTGAAAAAAAACAACAAAAAAACAAATGGGGCTATGCAACTTTGGTTGGGGGGTGTTAAAAGACACTTTAGAAATCAAATAAAAAGAAAAGAAGCGCTGTATAATTCAGTATTAGTTAACTATAATTGCCTGTATTTAATTAATAAAGAATACACGTAAGTTTACATGAGAAAATACGAAACGCGTTAAGAAATAATATACGCACCTGAACTGCAAGATTACCCAGATTTAGGTGCATATTTAATAATTTATATATATGATTATGAAATTTTGGCTTTGGTAAAAAAAATAAATAATATTAATAGTAATAGTGAAGATTATATAAATTTACACAATCTGCACCATAACATTTACCACTGCCACGGCTGCCACCTTGGTTGCCATGACCTGTAATGGTCAATGGCAACCAAAGTGGCGGCCTTGTGTCAAAAAACACTCCCCTGCTAAAATGGGCAGGGGAAAGGGAGAGAATGAGTTGGTTTAACTATGTACAGAGAGAAACAAAAATAGAAACAAAGACAAAAAGTTAAAATTTAATGACATAATCTTAGCTGGTACCTACATTTTGTGGCAAGCAAAGCTACTTTATTGTATCCCTCTAGATATGATATGCGGCAAGAAGAATCAACGAACTGAGGTCGCCCTTTTGCTTGCGCAATTTTAGTTGGTTTATGATCCTTTCCCTCAACTAAAGCATGTGTGCGGCTAAAGTTACACACTGTGGCAAGAAAACTGTTTAAAAATGAAGAAAAACAATAAGAATAATTTAAAATACTGCAAACCCAACTTACAGTTTCTTAGAGTACACTTTTACACAATTTATTCCACCAAAAAGAAAATGCAAAAATTTGTCAGAAAATCAATACAATACAATAATTAAACCCATTTGTCAAAATGCCAGCTAATTAATATCCATTATTACATTAAATGTTCTGTTTACCAAGTCTAGCATCCATTATATATATAGTCTATGTATTGTGAGGCAAGGCGTCACCGAAAAATAATACAGGTTTGGGACTACTTATTTTGAACCTTCAACTTTTACACGTGACTAATTAATTAAATCTTTCTATGACCAATGATTTAATAATGTGTGCACATGGCAAATTCATTCTCTTATGAATGAAACTATGAGAATAATACCACAGTAGTATAGTACATGCAAGTGACTGAAAGATTGCCAAGGACAATATTTTGCACAAAGCAAATTATGATCATTTATAACATGGAGTCTGACAGGTTTTTAAACCTCAAATTAAATTACTTCAAGTTCATTCCAAGTACAAGTTATCAAATATTTTGATGTAAATAGTGGTAATAATTTAATAATTCAAGTATCAGCATCTTCCGCCAATAAAAAGGAGGCATGGTTGAAATTAGACTGAGCAACTTAATGATAATGCAGTTTACCTGAACAAGCATACCAAACGTCACACATGACCTATATCAATGAGAATCGTCACACATATGCATCAATATATAATGTTTTTCAGTATTCAATATGAAGGACATGTTATTTTAATGTCTTCAAAAATGTTTTTGGGAAAGATGCATAATAAATACCAAAATTAAGATCGATAAAAAAAAAGGCAAAACAGTTCTTTGGAAATTAGGTCAAGATGTTCCTATTGTGTAGATGTAGAAGAAACACTTCAAGTTTATGATAAAATAGTCCTTTCATTAAGGAAAAAGCAGCAACGTCCAAAAATTTAAAACTGGGATTCTTCTGCGCCGACTCCCATTTCCCATACAAATGTTGAAGTTGTCTCCATTGCTTTACTGAAATGCCTACTTATAAAGTATTGCTTTAGGGAATATAAATATTTTCATCTATGTTGACCATGTTGTAATCTAAAGAAATCTAAAGAGCGTTTTAAATTAATAGTTTCGCAAACCTAATATTGAACTTTCAGAAAATGTACGCTATCTGTGACCCCTCTTTTCATATATTTTTTTTTGCCATGAACACCATCTTTGTTCGTGTGCTATAGTTACAAATGATAGTGAGAAAATCGCAAATTTGTAGAAAAATATTCAAATTCTTTTAAATTATTCAAAATAATTTAAAACAAACTTACAGCCTCATTTTGAATTATTATAATTAAAATAGCTTCATTTTGAATTATTATAATTAAAATAGCCTCATTTTGAATTATTATAATTAAAATAGCCTCATTTTGAATTATTATAATAAAAAACCTCATTTGAAATATGACTCAATTCTCATACGCCATTATTGGTTTCACACTATTTAATCCCCCCCCCCCCCCCCCCCCCTGTTATAGTCGCATAGATCCACCCCGATTATTATTAATATTAATGAACATTTTTTTTTATCCCCTTATTGGGGCCTTGCGAAAGGTGGGTAAAATGGGCAAAGCCCAAAGCACCAAAAAGAGGGTGTCAACTTCTTCATTTTTCATGCAAAATATGTTAATTATTACATACTTTATTGGATGACTTAGCTTTCTGCCTAATTACTTCACGAACGAAAACATATTGGCAGTACCGTATGAAATTTCCTTAGATGTTGTATCAATTTCCGGAAAACTTGACCTGTTCAATCGGTTTGCTCTGAAGTTGAAATGATATTTAAAAAAATTATTCTCAGTTCCACTTTGAGGACGGGATCAAGGATAGATTACTTTTTCCTGGAATTTCTGAGTTTTTTGTCCGCAATACTCTGGAGTCAACTCCAATGACTGTCCATGCCGGACCTGATTTAAAAAAAATAAAATTCAGTAGACCTGATGGCTTTCTAACAAACAAGGTCAACCAGTCAAGTTTTCCATAATCTGATGCCAGAATTGGATTCGGCTACTTAGGAAACCTCAGGGTGCCAAATTTGGTCTCGGCACCAATATTGCGTCTTGAAAATTATTGGTTAATAATTAAATATGCTAAAAGGATACTTTATCTGATGATGGTACATAAAGCTAAACTCCATTATTTATGGACCAAAAACCTGAATCTTGAAGAAATCTAGAAAATTCAACATACTATTTAGTAATGACTAATGGTATTGCTGTTAGTAATATTAGTTCTTGTAGACAGATAGCGGTTGGATTCAAATGCTTTTAAAAACACTGGTTCCCTATAAAAACCACTATACAGAGAGGTGGTGTGTTATAATTATTTCATTCAGAAATAATTAGGCCTACTTAAAAAAAGTAAATAAAAGCGATACACAAAACTAAATTGATTGTGTTATAAGGATGATGAATGTTAAAAAGGTGTAAGAACTGTAAATGTGTGATATCCACAGTCATTGGAGTGTTTTCCCAGGTGCCAACCTTAAAAAGGAATATTTTAAGAGTGAAAAAGTTGACATGATTAAAAAGGGAAGATAAGATGAGTAGGCCAAAATGATTTTATTTTCTAATAATTTCTATGGCTCAAACTTAATTTTAGCTGTTAATTGACAAATATTTTAAGCCTGTTTGAGTGAGGTAAGAAACTTGATGCTAGTTCAGAAAATTTCATGTCTAAATGTCATTAAGTTTCTTTTATCAGATAAATAAGTGGTTTTCAAATGTAAGAACAATAATTTGCAATATATAACTAATCAAGAAAGCTAGGAACATAACACAAACTAAACATCCTTCACTTGAAGAACTACTGAAGAAAGATGTTTTTGTAAAACTAAACACATTTTGGATGATACATCCCACCCTCTCCACCACAAATACTTAGGATCGGGCCGTTCGGGACGAATTCTTTCCATCAGGGCGAAGACTGATAGATATAAAAATTCTTTTGTTCCTCAATCTGTACGAATTTACCGGCGTGCTTCCTCTGAAGTCACACATCTTCATGAGAACTAATAAGTCCCCGATTTGGCTAAGAGAACTCACTGATTTATATTAATTTTCTTGTCTTCAAATTGTTTTTTTATGTGCTGAAAATGTATAATGCAATCAAAAAACATTTCCATTCATTTGGATCAAGAAAAGAATTTTATCTTATAATGCTAGAAAACTTACCTATTTGTCAGCTGTAGACATCTGCTACAAGGGCTGGGAGTCTGACGAAAGAAATATCATGTGCAAACAAACATAAAATTGACTGATAATAGAACGAGTGTCTGGTTTATATAGAGGATAATTTAGGGACAACATTCAAAAGTTTCAAAAAACCAATTTGCTTTTATTGTTGTGAATTTTCATTCAAGGTTTCCCATGTCCTGTTCTTAGTGTTCCCTAGTTTAAATAAAGAAAGGAAATGAAATTTTAAAATAGACCCCATGAACAAATTGATACTGGCGAATGTTTAATGATTAAACAATGAAAACTGCTGTTGTAGGATGTTGTCACAAAGAGCTAATTTAGTGAATCACCTAATTGTACTTGGAACTGTCTACAAAAAATTATTTTTTTTTGCATTGCAGATTTCATTTTGAGGAGTTATTTAAACAATGAAAATTGCAGTTGAAGGATGTTGTCATGGAGAATTAGATAAAATTTATGAAAGTGTAGCCGAATTAGAAAAACAAAATGGGTTTAAGGTGAGTAAAAACCGGCTGGCACATAATATGATGACAATCCTCATATTTCTTAACAGATAAGTAGTCTGTTTTATTTGTTGGTTTTTTTGGGGTGTTTTTTTGTATGTTTGGGGTGGGTATCTCATATGACATTAGGCTGTGGGTAGTGCGCATTAACTCAAGCATGTATTTGCTTCTACAGATTGACCTTCTCCTTATCTGTGGAGATTTCCAGGCTGTTCGCCACTTTGATGACTTTCAGGCTTTGGCTGTCCCACCAAAATATCAGCAACTGAACACATTCTACAAGTCAGTGTCCTACTAAGCATTCCTTATCTCTTGATTTGCAGGTTCAAATAATGTTAAGTGGGATATTTTAAACACCATAGCATTCACTTTAAGCTGTCATTATTCACAATAATCACATTTTCTAACCCACATATTCAAAGGCTGTTGGATTTTTTGTTGTTGAAGTTTTACATTATTCTTTCAGTTTTTTTCAGCAAAAAATGATTTGTCTTTGTACATCACTTATTTGTTTGCTGTTGCTGGTTTGATTAACACACATTTCCACCCCACAGATATTACAGTGGAGAAAAGACAGCACCAGTGCTGACAGTATTCATTGGAGGGAATCATGAAGCCTCAAACTACATGCAAGAGCTACCTTACGGAGGGTGGGTAGCCCCCAACATTTATTACATGGGTAATCCTGAAGATTCTTTGGAAAATGTTAACATGTGATAAGTCTCTCATTGTTTTGTCATTCAGCAAATATTAATGTTAGGAACACTCTTCCTAGTGTGACCAAAGGATTAGAAATTTTGCTTGGGTAAAATTCAGAGTTGCACTGTATATGGTATAAATTAGTCAGAAACTTAGGCATATTGTTATCTTTCCTCTCCATAATAATAATATGTAAAACAATGAAATTTTTATCTATTTTCTACTGGTTTTGTTTGTTCAGATTTCCAGATGTTTTTTTAGCTTTACATATTATTGTCATATTTTCTAACTTAACATATTTTTATACAATTTTATTTGACCCCCAAAAATATTGTCTACCATTTAGAATGCTATCACTGGTCTCTTACTTCTATTAATTTAATTTTAGGAATAACACTTATAATTTTTAGTCCCTGTGTTTTGTCATGATTAAATAATATCAATTTATATTTTCTGATGCAGACTTTAATTTTAATGAGATTTAAACTAATATTTACTTATTGAATGATACTTTCAATTCATGAGATTTAAACTAATGATATTTTCTAATTCACATTTTAATGAGATTTAAACTAATGATATTTACTTATTGACCCTTTCAATTCAAAAATATTAAAACTAATAATATTTTCTAATTTATACTTTCAATTTAATGAGATTTAAACTAATGGTATTTTCTAATTCACACTTTCATTTTAATGAGATTTAAACTAATGATATTTACTTATTGACACTTTTAATTCATGAGATTTAAACTGTTAAACATTAGGGCAACAAGCTATATGCTGTAAAATTTTTTAAAACTGTCTGTCATCGTGTTCCAGGTTATGCTGGTCTAATTCAGGTTGGTGGGCTCCGCATTGGTGGCATATCTGGCATCTTTAAGGGCCATGATTATAACCGGGGACACCATGAAAGACCACCTTATGACGACAACACCAAGAGAAGTGTCTACCACATACGAAATTTGGAGGTCTTCCGGCTAAAGCAGATCACAGGGCCTGTTGATGTCTTCCTGTCACATGATTGGCCTAAAGGGATCTATCACCATGGCGACACTGCTGCACTCATCAAGAAGAAACCTTTCTTCCAGTAAGAAACTAAAGAAACAATTTACTGACTTTATAATGCCCGTTTTTTCTTTGTATCTCTAAATATTTGACTTCGTGTTAAAAATTTTGTAACTATTGTATACGGCATAAATGATGAGGAAATGGAGGCCCTTTAAAATGCTTTTTTGACATGCTTAGAAAGTCATCTGTATTTTAACAGTATTATTATTTATTTATTAGCGTTTGAATGAATACATTTTCTACAATTTAAGACCTTCTACTGTAGCTAGGTAAGCCTAGTTCATTGAACACACTTGGTAGCATCCAATCCACATGATGCTATGGCTCTATGTATTCTGAGACACTGTTGACTTATTTTTTCAGAAAAGAAATAGAGGAGAACAAGCTGGGGTCCCGCCCTTTATCCGATCTGCTAACCCACCTTCAGCCATCTTACTGGTTTGCAGCACATCTCCATGTCAAATTTGCAGCACATGTAGAACACAGCGTGAGTTTAAAAAAAAAAACAATATAAAAAAAAAAAAAAAAAAAAAAACAAAAAAAAAAAAATGGGAATCAACCGTTTGCAGAATACACCCACGGAGAAGTTAATTGTTAAATCATTCAGTTGGTAGAACAAGGATGCTTAGAAGTTAAATTTCACTCAATATTTTTGTGATTACTGCACAAGTAATAATTTTAACCCTGGCAGATCAAACTCAAAATGCTTCATCTGTCCATCTAAGTAATTTACTGCACACGAAGAATGATAGAAATGGATCATGGGATTGTGTGTGCATTTCCTAATCTAGTTCATCCATTAAGTACATTCAATAAATTGTAACTTGATTGTGTTAAGTTGTGCTTATTGATGACTTTAAAAAAGACCAAACAATAATTCAGTAATCTTTTGAAATACGTCTCGTACATCAGTTAGCTCATGTCTTATCATGTATCATGAATGGGTCTTAAAACCACCATGTCATTCACAGCCGCCAACTGGAACACAGCCTGCCAAAAAAACTAAATTTTTGGCACTTGACAAGTGTTTACCTCGGCGACATTTTTTACAGGTAAGATTCTGCACTGTGATTCGGTTCTTTCAACTTGCAAAATCTTTATTACTGTAAAACTTCTTTGGGATATTAATGTCAAGCTTTTTATTATTTAGGCTCTGTTGATGCCATTAATAATGCTTTGAAATACTGAGAGAGAATAAAATTGATAGAACTGGTTTATGTGACGTGGGGGTCAAAGGTCATAATTTATACTAAGACTTGAAATTAACTAAACATTATCTCCTATGTATATATTACCTACGTATTACTAAAAATGCAATTAACTAAACATTATCTCTTTTTTTATCTGATTATTTTAAATTTTTATTTTTGGCTCATTTTTATGTGAAGCGTGGTGAGCCTGGGCTGGGGTACCATGTTATATAAGACCACTGTAATAATAATAATAATAATTTATGTATATATATTACTTACATATTACTAAAAAATTTAATGGTTCTATAAGTTACTTTGTTCAAATTTTAAGGTGTTTGACCTACCGCACAACACTGGTGAAGGATTGAAGATTAAGCTGGACGCAGAGTGGCTAGCTGTATTACAGTCAACAAACCATTTATTGAATCTAAGCCCAAGCAATATGTATATGCCTGGGCCGGGGTGCAAAGAAAGGTAAGAGGATTTTCATCAGTTGGTTGGTTAACAGGCCTTTTAACTGTTGTATTTAAACAATTGGTTTATTAGCATTCTTTGTTAACTGTTAACCATGTTTTGTTAACTGCAATTTAATGTTCTACTTACTGGAATGTGAGCTTGTTCTGTTGACCCAGAGTCAACCACAAAATGCCATGGTGTACTAGGACCTGTGTTTGTAAACATGTGAGAGCAAGCCTAAAATAGTAGCATAAATAGATCTTGGTATATTTTGTACAGGCCCACTAATTTGTGTTACAGACATACATGTCTGCCTATTAAAATTGTATGTCTTTAACAGGCCCACTAATTTGTGTTACAGACATACATGTCTGCCTATTAAAATTGTATTTGTGTTACAGACATACATGTCTGCCTATTAAAATTGTATGTCTTTAACAGGCTCACTAATTAGTGTTACAGACATACATGTCTGCCTATTAAAATTGTATGTCTTTAACAGGCCCACTAATTAGTGTTACAGACATACATGTCTGCCTATTAAAATTGTATGTCTTTAACAGGCTCACTAATTTGTGTTACAGACATACATGTCTGCCTATTAAAATTGTATGTCTTTAACAGGCTCACTAATTAGTGCTACAGAGATACATGCCTGCCTATTAAAATTCTTTGGCAACCTTAATTTGTCATCAAGATATCTTGGTTACTGACAGTTCATAATAATTATCAGGAATTGAAGAGGCTCTAAATGAAGAGTAATATTAACTACAGTAAGCACTAGTGACAGTGCTGAAACTGATGCATCTTGAATGCATACAAGCATTTGTCAATGGTGCTAGTCCCTGACGTGTTAAGGAAGTTGTGTTGGTTCAAAGGTGCATAGCTCCTTGAGGTGTTAAGGAAGTTGTGTTGGTTCAAAGGTGCATAGCTCCTTGAGGTGTTAAGGAAGTTGTGTTGGTTCAAAGGTGCATAGCTCCTTGAGGTGTTAAGGAAGTTGTGTTGGTTCAAAGGTGCATAGCTCCTTGAGGTGTTAAGGAAGTTGTGTTGGTTCAAAGGTGCATAGCTCCTTGAGGTGTTAAGGAAGTTGTGTTGGTTCAAAGGTGCATAGCTCCTTGAGGTGTTAAGGAAGTTGTGTTGGTTCAAAGGTGCATAGCTCCTTGAGGTGTTAAGGAAGTTGTGTTGGTTCAAAGGTGCATAGCTCCTTGAGGAAGTTGTGTTGGTTCAAAGGTGCATAGCTCCTTGAGGTGTTAAGGAAGTTGTGTTGGTTCAAAGGTGCATAGCTCCTTGAGGTGTTAAGGAAGTTGTGTTGGTTCAAAGGTGCATAGCTCCTTGAGATGTTAAGGAAGTTGTGTTGGTTCAAAGGTGCATAGCTCCTTGAGGTGTTAAGGAAGTTGTGTTGGTTCAAAGGTGCATAGCTCCTTGAGGTTTTAAGGAAGTTGTGTTGGTTCAAAGGTGCATAGATCCTTGAGATGTTAAGGAAGTTGTGTTGGTTCAAAGGTGCATAGCTCTTTGAGGTGTTAAGGAAGTTGTGTAGGTTCAAAGGTGCATAACTCCCTGAGGTGTTAAGGAAGTTGTGTTGGTTCAAAGGTGCATAGCTCCTTGAGATGTTAAGGAAGTTGTGTAGGTTCAAAGGTGCATAACTCCCTGAGGTGTTAAGGAAGTTGTGTTGGTTCAAAGGTGCATAGCTCCTTGAGATGTTAAGGAAGTTGTGTTGGTTCAAAGGTGCATAGCTCCTTGAGATGTTAAGGAAGTTGTGTTGGTTCAAAGGTGCATAGCTCCTTGAGATGTTAAGGAAGTTGTGTTGGGCAGTTGTTGGAAATGGGTCTTAGTGAGGAACAGATTTTCTTAGTTGAGCAATATTTTCACTATGGAACTGTTCAAAGAACAATATTCTTGTTTTGTCTGTGTTTTTTTTTTAGTAGCAAGTACATATGGGCACGGCCTGCAATGGCTCCATGAACATGGTTTTGGTCCAAAGTGAATTGGACTGTGTTTTTAAAAAAAATATGAGTTAGAGCTGTTTTACTGGATTTTTTTTCCGCCTCCCAGGTTTTTTAGTTTTGTCTATTTCATTTAAGATGAATCATATAAGTCAGGTCTCTATCTGAAGTTGTGGGGATGACATCGCCCTATTATCCCAAGTCCGTAATGCATGTAATATAAAACTGCAAAGCTTGATTCCATTTCTAGGTCCATAATACATATAAGATAAAACAGAAAAGCAACATTCAATTTTTTGACAGGTTGACTTTCAGTCTGGGATAATAAACAAGAAGTAATCAGAGTAAATGCAAATAGCAAAGAAGTTGTAGGGATAAGAGGTATAGCACTATGAGAATAGGATGTGTTTTTCAATCTGGGAAGTATAGTTAGTAAGTGGACATATGGCAGATATCTAGGCAAGAATACAGAAGGAAAGAGGACCATTTGATTTATATACAAATATTTGCAAAGTCTAGGCCAATAAGGAGAATGACACAATTTAGAATGTTTCAAATCGATTCTGCTGTATTAACAAAGAGATCTTTGTGAATAGTTGTTCGTTTAGAATCTTTAGCATTAAGCAGTTCCACAAAATTCAAATACTGCATTGAGGGAAACACCACAAATTCCAATGGAGCTAGAAATCATCAGTAAAAGTAAAATAATTTAAAGATGGAACAGATCATATTATAATAAAACTGATGTCAAATATTACAAGACAAGTAGCGGTATAGAACAAGACAAGTAGCGGTATAGAACAAGACAAGTAGCGGTATAGAACAAGACAAGTACCGGCATAGAACCCTTAAGGATCAAGAGAACATGGGAGACATATAAAAATGTGCTGAAGATAGGTCAACAAGGATTTAATAAAGATTGGAAAGAGTTAGTGGAAATATCAAGAGACCGGAGGCTTGGATAGAAATTATTAATGGCCTATGCTCCACTGAAAGTTGAAACGGCAAAAGGAAGAAGACTTTAGTCGGGTGATTTACTAATTAATATTCAGTGTACATTTCATTTCCTCCCCAGATACGATTTTCAAGTATCAGAAAAAGATAAAGAGAAAATCAAAGAGATCTTTGGCAATGACCTTACTCTCCCTGAGAACTTCATCCACACATCACCCCCTTTGCACGGCAACCCCCTCTCCAGAGCCAGGAGCAAACCACAACCATTGTCTGTGCAGGTAAACCCTCAGACAACCTTGCTCTGCAGCATGCTGGACATAACTGACCCCAATGCAAAACTCCTGGGCAAAACCTCCCAAGAGCTGCTTGAGGAGAGTGACATTGGGTTGCCAGATGAAGATAAAAAAATTGAGGATGAGAGCAGTGATGATGCTATTGATGACGACAGTAGTGATGAGATGCCAAGTGCTATTGACAGCAGCATAGATGCCTCCACCATGTCATTATCTATGAATGCGTCATCTGCCTGTGACAGTTTTCACACAGCCTGTGACTCACCTAACGCCTCCAGTGTGGGTGCACTCAGTATGCTAAATGCTGTCACGTCAACACCTTATAAACATCTAGCCAGCAAATTAACTCCAGCAGAAGATATTTCCGTACAGGATGATGATGATGAGTTGCTCTCAATCCTGTCTGCACAAAAGAGCAAAACCTCGGAAAAGAGTTTAGAGCTATCGTCTGTGCTAGGGGATAAGACTGGTGCGGTCCCAGGGGAAATTAGCTTGTCAGGCACAGAGGCCCCCAATGGTGTACATGCAGGAAATGATGAGCTCCCTCTACTGTTAGCTCACAACACATTTTCAGACATCTCTATTGGATGTGGAGATAACCTGCATATCACGTCAGTATCTCACGCTGACCAAACCTCCACGCAACCCTCTTCCCCTCAAGACCGAGTTCCTTTTCCTCTTAAATCTGAACGTTCAAGTTTGGGAATGTCCGACTTGTGTCTGAGTTCCAATACACCTGTGGATCTATGTGTCAATGACCAAGTTATAAATTGCTGGCCCCCAAAACCTGGCAAGAAAAGGGACAGTTCTGATGACGGGTTGCATGAAGATTGTGTTACGCCCATTTTGAAAGTATCACAAGAAGTTTTGAGCCAAGGATCTTCTTCTTTTAAGAAACTGAAGAGAAGAAATGTATCTGTTTACTCCGAACATCTGGATTAAAAATAATTAAATTTTTTTACTGTTCTGCTGTTCCCCCTTTTTTAATGAGTCCCAATTTTGTTGGAAATGGTTAAGTTTTGTTAACATAACCATACCCATAGTTAAACCGAAAAATAAATGGTTACATTTGAAGTACACATTTTTAAACCTGTTGTTTTATCTTTAGCATAAAATATTTTTAAACTGTATAGCAATTACTGTGATTTCAAAGCTAAAGATAGTAAATTGGTTTTTAAAAAAATGGATGCTTTCTACCACTGTTAACAAAAAAATTATATCTGCCTGTGTAACAGAAATTATTTTTTTGTTAAAATTCTGTGTTAATTTGAATATATCTTTTTTTTTATTATTGTATTGCTGAAATATGGAAGTCTGTGCATTCATATGACTGAGGTCACTAAAGAAACTTTTCATTTAAGAAAACTATTTTTTTTTCATGTGTAAGTTACATCACAATGGTTATTTTCTTGCACAAATCCTGGGCATAAATCCAATACACAAATTAACAAGATCTTAGATCTGTGGTTCAGTTACCTGACAAATTAATCCCATGTAAGTGTTAACACAACTGCCTCAAGTTGAACTTAAGTTTGTACGGTCGCTGTATGCAAACAGAGAAAACGTATGCACATTTTAATTATTTTAGTTAAGTTTTAGTTAATAATGAACAATTTTCACTATGTTTGTCTGGCATTGAGAGTATTCTTGTTGGGGAGATATGAGAAGCATTTTTTTCCTCACAAAATCTGCAGCAAAGTTGATGTTCTCCAGTGTTTAAAGTTTCTAATTTATCTTATCTGATCTTATTTTAATTAGTATTGGAATAGACACATTTATAATCATATAATTATTATATTGCAATATCTAGATTGTGCAGGGAATAAAAAAATTGTCCATGTGTAATTTCAGATATATTTATTTAAGCATGATTTTTAATTAAAAAATTGATGTTCTTTTTTAAAAATAAAAATTGGTCTCTTGTATTTATAATTATAAATGATAAATGAACAGATCCTTTTACCACACAATGTAGCAACAGCCTGTGCCCACTCAATAAGGCCCTCATGAAGAGATCCTTTTACCACACAATGTAGCAACAGCATGTGCCCACTCAATAAGGCCCTCATGAAGAGATCCTTTTACCACACAATGTAGCAACAGCATGTGCCCACTCAATAAGGCCCTCATGAAGAGATCCTTTTACCACACAATGTAGCAACAGCCTGTGCCCACTCAATAAGGCATGTTTATTACCAGCTTTGAAAAACCAGATTTATGCTAGCACCTCCCACTTCTATCCAGCATAATCATGTGTGAACGTAAAACTAGTTCTCAATTTAAACTTTCTTTTTTTACAATTGCTACTAAAATAGTACTATCTTTCTAGTTATTGAGTCTATGGTTTCCAACCATTTGAAAATATGTAAGTCTCCATAAGCTGATGTAAAGTGACTTAATAACCACATGACTAAATATGTAAGAAACCTGTATATAAACGATTCCCTAAAGTAAGAATATTATTGATAATTATATGAACAAAAAAATCCTCAAAAATTAATTTTATAAATGTAGCGTGTAAACCACAAATTTTTTGGTCCTACCTCCCCTAAAGTCAGGTTGTGAAATGATACATGGATTATGGGGTGGGTCCAAGGTGTGCGTGTGTAGTGGAAGGGGATTGTGTGAGAAAAAATATGCATTCTTTCATTGTCATTTTAAACTCTCTGAGAAGTGATAGTCTCTATTACTCTTCTGGTCTCCATTACCCTGTTGGTCTCCAGGGCTACCAGTGTAAACAACATTTGGTTTAGCTAACCAACAACAGTGTTGATATGTTTTTTAAATATATTCTTATAGATTAACAATTTTCTATTGTATTTTTTAACATGTAATACAGGCATTCTTAAACTACTGTTCATGTCCTTTAATTTATATTATATTTGTTAATTCCTGAAAGCTGTTCAAATGCAATGTTCAATAGACTGTACTCATGAACCGATTTGTTTCACCTGTCCTGATGTGTAAACAACATATGTTAAACTTTAACAAACAAATTAGCCAGGTCTGAAAGGTAATCTTGTTTTAACTGAAAGTGAACATTCAAAAATGTTGTATAAAAAGAATGTCTAACCGCTTCAACTGAAAATGAACATACAATAGTTATATAAAAAAAATGTCTAACCAGAATATCTTGTTCCAACTGTAAGCGAAGATTCAAAAGTTATATAAAAAGAATGTCTAACCACATGATATTTTAATCTAGGTTAAAACAACATCTGGTTTATAGTTTAGGCTATAGTTTATTCTTTACATTGCAGATGGAGATTGCTGAGTATTGAAAATGTTGCTCATTTTTGTTCTTTCCAGGAAATGTAAATGTCCAAACTTGTGTGTTTTTTTTTATAGAAATTTTTCACAATGCCAAACAGGCAGCTATGGATTCCAGTCTAATATTTTTACTTTGGCATGCTAGAATGTTTTTGTATCAGTCATTTTTTAAAAACATAATGGTTTGTGGTATAACTATTTAAATCACTGATTTAACAGACTCATTAAAAAATATTTACATGTATTTTCACTTTGGCACAAATTGGTCATTGGTTTTGAAACTTCATTGCCCTTCAAATTCCCTTTCAATGTTGAAAATCATTGAATATTAACTAATGATCTGATTTCAATCCAGCTAAAACCTTTTTAATTTATTGATCTAATTAATGGCCACTGAACCTCTTGGAAATTGTCATCCCCATGGGTAGTCAAGTGAATCACCTGAATCCCTGAATTTTGGTTGAATAGTGAAAATAATTTAAACAATTTTCTTTGACTCCATTGTCCATTGTTCATGAGCCTCTTCCAGACTGAGTGCCCCTCAGATATTATTTGTCTGTGAAATAAACTATAGCTTTTATAAATGCAGAATATGTTGGCAGCTAAACATCTGGTTTTATACATATTTAAGAATAAGTTCTGGTTTACATTAGAGCTCTCAATCATTGTTTTTACATAAAATAATTGACCCATAGAATTTGCAGTCTTCACAAAGCTGTTTAAGTGGTTTATGGATTTAATTTACTGTCAACAAAATCTTTAAGCTTGTTGTTCATAAATATTTAGGGAATTCCCATACATTTTCTCTGAATCTGAATAGTACAGGGGGGTCCTCAAGGGATTTTTGTTTGAGAACCGCTGAACAGTGCTATTGATAAAAATGCATTAAAAAAAAGATTGTTCTTGATTTTGATTTATTTAGAGATTATAAGACATGACAATGAAAAGAAGGTGCTTAATCTGTTGTGATAGTTTCATTGATGATCAATACAAAGGGCTTTTAAAACTGTGTATAGTATATAAATATTTTCATGATTTCAAAGATCATAATTTTAAAAATAACTGATGGTATAAAAAATTTAATAAATAAACAATGAACTGGTTTTTTTTTTAAATTTAACATTTTTAAAATCCTTTGTATCAACTTCATTTTTGTTTGTGTTTCTTTTTTTGGGGCAAAATCTTTGGAAGTCTAATTGACCCACTTCCCATCATCCTTTCACACTGAAACTTGGCACATATACTCATTGCCGATGGCAACACATTCTATCAAAGTTTCAGCCCCAACCCCCAAAAATTCAGTTTTTCCTGTTTTTCAAGGGAAAACTAATTGACCCTTTTCCCTTCATCCTATCCAGCTGAAACTTGGCACAAAGACTCGTTGACAATGACAACACATTTGATCAAATTTTTTAGCCCCACCCCAAAACCAACTAAAATGAGTTTTAAAAAAAAGTGTGTGTGTGTGTGTGGGGGGGGGGGGTAGGGGTATGTTAATGATTTGTTCAATGGATGCTTGTTTTGGTGTGGTGATTGTGTTATTCAAGGGGGTTATAATATAACCAATATAACACACAACAGATAATACAGTCGCACCGCCGGTGTTCAGACACTGATATTTCACTGTCACAGATGGTTTTCTTACACAATATCAACTGATATTTCACTGTCACAGATGGTTTTCTTACACAATATCAACTGATAATTCACTGTCACAGATGGTTTTCTTACACAATATCAACTGATATTTCACTGTCACAGATGGTTTTCTTACACAATATCAACTGATATTTCACTGTCACAGATGGTTTTCTTACACAATATCAACTGATAATTCACTGTCACAGATGGTTTTCTTACACAATATCAACTGATATTTCACTGTCACAGATGGTTTTCTTACACAATATCAACTGATAATTCACTGTCACAGATGGTTTTCTTACACAATATCAACTGATAATTCACTGTCACAGATGGTTTTCTTACACAATATCAACTGATAATTCACTGTCACAGATGGTTTTCTTACACAATATCAATTGATAATTCACTGTCACAGATGGTTTTCTTACACAATATCAACTGATAATTCACTGTCACAGATGGTTTTCTTACACAATATCAACTGATAATTCACTGTCACAGATGGTTTTCTTACACAATATCAATTGATAATTCACTGTCACAGATGGTTTTCTTACACAATATCAACTGATAATTCACTGTCACAGATGGTTTTCTTACACAATATCAACTGATAATTCACTGTCACAGATGGTTTTCTTACACAATATCAATTGATAATTCACTGTCACAGATGGTTTTCTTACACAATATCAACTGATAATTCACTGTCACAGATGGTTTTCTTACACAATATCAACTGATAATAGTGACAGTGTCTACCAAAAGAATGTGTTATAGTTCTGATAATTCACTGTCACAGATGGTTTTCTTACACAATATCAACTGATATTTCACTGTCACAGATGGTTTTCTTACACAATATCAACTGATATTTCACTGTCACAGATGGTTTTCTTACACAATATCAACTGATATTTCACTGTCACGGATGGTTTTCTTACACAATATCAAC